TCTTTCCCTCCTCGCAGCCAGCTCTTAGGTCTAGCTCTTCCTCAGTAATTGTTGACACTACTGATGGTACTGTTGCTGAGACCAGACCTTTTCATTAGCTTGAGATTCTCTTCCTACTGCTCCTACAAATGTCTTTCCTCAGTCACCACCTCTTCTCCATTTGCCTCCTATTTTGAAATACTCCAATCTGCATTAACACATGGATTCAGCCAACATCTCTGTGCTGAGGATTGGCAAATCTCTGTTTTGCCTGTACATGTTCTTCAAAGTTTCTAGTAAGATCATGGTAAGACTGGCAGAGAGATGCTGGTACAGTTGACAATGCTAGACCAGTATGGCTAAAAATAAAGCTCATTTTTCTTTCCCTGAAATCACTCCTCCATGTGATTGCATCATCACTGGGGACACTAGGACATCTTACCTGTCTGGTGAACATACAATCTGTAGATCACCAAACGCTGGCCTCTCTCTACAGCTTCTCCCAGGCCAGCCACATCTAAGTCAAGAAGCTTCGTTACAGTGTAATGTATTTACGATAAAGCCTTTCCTATTCTTTCAAATATCTAAGAACTGTCTGGCTCTCTTCTCAGTTATAACAATTATCTCTCTTCCTTTTGGCCTTGCTTACCTTTATCTTGACACCCAGACAGTGCTTTGCCTAACTCTTTGATTCAACCACATCAGCCTTCTTCCACTTCCCTCCTCTTCTTCTTCAGAGACTCCGCACACCAGAGACAGGAGCTAAAATATACACCACCTGAAAATAGACACTAGGACTGCATGTAAACTTTGGGAGAAATCTTTGCCTTGTGTCACATTTCGATGTTTGTTTTTCCCATTCATCTAGAAACACAGAGAGATTGCTAAGTCCACAGAAATTAATCAGGCTGGCCCAGCACACATCCTCAAACCCATCTTCCCACTTAATACCTGTGAGCAAGAGGATAACTGACTTTTAATTGACATCTGAGATTGTCAGATGCTGACAATACAGAACTGCATATATTAAAAAGCCAGAGCCTGGTGGGAGCCAGAGGAAGAAAGCAGATATGATTTTCCAGCCAGCAGTGACTGACAAATGAAGGCAATCAGCCTGACCTTGAGAACCTCCTCTAAGCAGCAGCAGCTACATCTGTGCATTCCAGATGCAACTGTTCCAGCAACAGAGAAATTATCAGGGCACTGTTTAAAGAAACCCAAAAGCTCAGACTAATCTCTAAACAGAACTTAAACAGACTGAAACACCAACATTTCTGAGCAGCTTTATTAAACAAATGCACAGATGGCTAACTCTCCTGCCACTCTGACCTTGATAAGAAAACTCAGGCTTATTTACCCTTCCCTTTCCCAGTCACTGAATGCACTTATGTGGTGTGTTGTGAAATTATACATTATTTGGGGCACCATCTCAATTTCCCTAAATTCTGGAAATAAGTTCTTACTCTGTAAAATAAATCGGATTATGAAGTATTCAAGTTGATTGTACCTACCCTGCTTGAAATCAAGAATGAATTACAGCATTTATTATAAAAAAGCAGAATTTTTACATTGTTTGGGTGATTTTGCTGCAACTGAGAGCTCTGCCACTGACCTGCAGAGCAAACTCAGACATCTGTCTCCCTTTACTGACACTGCCATTCAGTGAAAGAGACATTCCTTACCCCCTCAGGCAGGGGGCACCCTGATCCAGGCTGTCCTCTTTAGATACTGCTACAGCACAAGTTACAGGTCATTCAGTCATGTGGGAAGACTCAAGCTGCAGAGACACAATCCTTTTCCTTTATCTGTTCTGACTCATCACTTCTTCAGAGCAAGCAATGGAAGGCGGAAACTCACATTCAGTCCCAGCACAAGGATCTAAAGGACTTAATAAATCTCTGACACATTTCACAGGTAAATAAGTAAAAATGAAATGCATGATTGCAATAACTTTCTGCCAGTGAATAAAGCAAGTGTAGCCCATATAGTTGGGAGTGGGGAGGGGATGTGGGAAGGGAAGAGTGTCCAGAATAGCCTCAGAGAACAAATTTAATTCTAAGGAACAGGAAAGGATAAATACATCCATAAAGTAATCTCTTCTCCACTGTGATATCACAGTTTTTTAAAGCAAACAATTAGGTTGATGAGCTAATTCCATTACTGCCTATCACCGTGATTAATACTGCCTGATTGTCCCTTTGCAATGCTTTCTACCACTTGCACACTGCCTTCCATTTGTTGATTGATGACTCTTTGGGTCAGGGAGTGTATTTAGGGTTATGTTTGTGGCATGGGCCTGTGGTTCAGGACAAGGAGCTATGGGAATAGCTCATCCTGCCTGACTCCCCATGGGGTTCAGTGCATGGCACCAGCCTCCTGTGCTTCCTCCTTCTTCTGCAAAATAACCAGAAAATCTTACTGTGAAGGAAGGATGCAAGGACTAAGCATTACTTCGTAACAATTCTTCATGTCCATGTTCCTTCCTTATAAGACACACCAGGAAAGGAAAGAGAGAGCATGATATGTCCTACCAGGACAAAATAACTAGCACTGATCAGATATCTGGGAACTCTCAGCAGTTTTTCATGAGCCCTATTGCTATATCTAAAATGAAAAAGAGTCCTAGCAATCATATTTATGCACATCTTTTATAAGCAAGTGCTCCAGACCTCTCAAGAGAAAAAGAGAAGAATAAAAACTGACACAAGTAGAGTGTTGATTTAAATAGGATGGCTTATTCAGCAAATACTCTAAGGAAGAAATACACATTTCTAAGCTACTGTGATCATTTAAACTGCAATCAAGATATTAAAATACTGGTTTCAAAAGTTTATTAGTGGTAACACATTTCTAGGGAAATATATTAGAGGGAAATGAGGAGACGGAGAGGGACACCTGAGGTCCTGCAAGTTGAGTTTGCTGTTGTCACTGAATTAGAGAGAAACAAGAAGGCCCAAGCCCTCTTCTGTAGCAGCAGCTGCTGCCACCTTGATGTTCAGCATCAAGCATGGGTTAAAAAGGCAACAGTATCAGGGCAGTTTAGCTGTCTACTTCACCTGAGTCAGCTCTCCTTGAGCCTTTCTAACCTCCTGAAAGTTTTTGTTCATGTTCCCAGCTGCTGTAGACAGGTATTTACTTTGTTTGAATTATGTGTCCTTCCTGCATGTCCCCACTTGGCCAGCTGACTGTGAAAAGATACTCTGCAACAAAGCTATTCACTGCAACAAGATGCTTTGCTTGAGAAAGTCCAAAGCAGATATATGATACCAGATTGTGCATCCATCTTAAAGCAGAGACTTAACTGTCAGAGTGGAGTCAGATTATCTGTATTACAGAATACAGAAAAGTAGTCTAATATAATTACATTATTTATATTACGCATAAATAAGCCTATGCACCTTTTTAGATCCACAAGCAAAATCTGGTTTTTATGCCACTTCTGTTCCATGAATGGTTTATTGGGCTGAATTTTTCACCAAACACCACTTGTTAAAAAAGTAAACAATGAGCCAAACAGAACTATTTACTCACACACGCACAAAATTATTCAGAGTTTTGTTCATGAGAACAAGCAGACTCCCCTAAACCTCAATATTAACACCTGCTCTATGGGCTGCCAACCAGGAGTTGTTTCATTAGGAAAACAAACCAACTAATTATTCTCATCACAGGAAAAGCAGATACTGGGAAAACTGTGATTATCCTCAAATTGGGGTGGTTTTTTTTTTTAACATCAAGCTCATCATTCAGCTCTTGAGGTTCCTTCCAGTCCTGAGAGCCAGTCATATGTAGCTCACATTCCCTCTTCTGCCTGGGCTGCCTCACCTTTATATATATATGTATATGTGCATGTATGTATGTATACACACACATATAATTCAGACTTTTGCAACTGAATTAGCCTGATTTGTGAAGTGTTTATAGTAATACTAGATCCTGAATAAAATTACCTCAAGGTCATAATGTAGAAACAATGAGGGAGGGAATTAATTCCAACAATACTACAGAATTTCTGCATATTTCCAAGTGGGTGCTATAAGTTTTTTTCTGACAGCAGACAGGTGATAGATCAGTCAGTCCTTAACTATCAGACCACAAGTCCTTCCTTAACCATACCAGTTTCAAAAGAGAGGGAGGGGAAAGTGTGCACATGAAAGGAGAAAACATTGGATTTTCTTCTTGATTAGATCAGTTATTTCCATATATTAAACACAGAAAAAACAAAACAAAAAAAAACCACAAAACCAACAAAACCAAACAAACCACCCTCTGTTTTAATACAGTAAATAAACCAAATAACCACCAAATCTGTGGTTTGCATTCTGCAAGATCCCTCATAAGTGTGAGATATAACTGAATGAAGCATTTCAAGCATACTATAGTTGAAGATCCCCATTCTCCCCAGACCAGGTTTTTATATTTTAGCATAAACATTCATGTTGCTGTATATTACTTTTTTTCATGCTTCACTAGACTCCCTCTTACCCAACCAATCATTACAGCATGATGATAATTAAAGCCAAGTCATGGAATGAAAATAGAAGGCAGCTGCTAAGATAATCCTGAATGTCATCCGGATGCAAGTGAAGCATGAGTATCTAATTCATTAAGGGAGCAAAAGGATTAGGGTGGTGTGGAGCATCTATTCTGTTTAATTTGACATTCCATTAATTTACTTTCTCAATGGACAGGATGGGAGGCACAACATAATTATAGCTCAGAATCTGAAAACTCTGGTATGTCTGAAGACCTATTCATTGGTGGCAGTTGGCTGGGAAAGAATGGCAAGAGAGATCAGCAGACTTTGTGCTCACTGTACCCATTACGCTTCAGTAATAAGCTGAATGTGGAACTGGTGGAGTTCACCTTGGAGATTAAGGACACTGCCTCTGTGTAGCAAGTGGCTTTACAAAAGCCTTGAGAGTGAAAACTTCCATGGATGCTTCACAAGGTGAATCTATTTTTTATCAGACAAAACAACTGCTTTAAAACCTGGATGAAAGATGTATGACCCTAATTTTCTTCTTAGAGTGAACAGCAGTGCTGAAAATGCAAACCACTGTTCCCAGTGAGCCTCTTTTCTTGCATAGCTACTCAAACAGTCCCAGTGATTCATGGATCAAACTTTACAATGAACAAATGTTCTACTGCAGCAAACCCACAGGCCCCGCAGTTTTGACAAGCATACAGCCTGAGGAGGCAGTCCTCTATCTGTACCTCTGAACCACTGCTCTGGAACATGCAGGACAACAAATTTTCACAGATGTTCTTGGGTTAAAAAAAGTGTGTATATATATGTATATGTATATGTATATCAGAAAATATATTTTCCCTCACTTCTAGGTATCAAAAAAAAGGCAAGATTTTTCAAGAGCTCTCAAAACACATCAGCAATTGAGGAACCTAAGAATGAGAAAAGTTGTCCCTAATACTCTACAACGTTAAAAAAATCCCTTTAACACATCTCCTACTCAGGCTCATATCTCACCTTGAAGTCACATCAAATTTTATTTCTCTGGTAGAGAAATAGAGGTGTGAAAGAGATGTAATAAGAAACCCTGCTAATGTTTTTCACAGAAACATGGACATCTTTACACATATTGATTAAGTCTATTGGATACCACTGGCTATCACAGATACAGTGTTATACTTAGAAAGAGAAGCCGACTCATTAAAAATTACAGAAGTCACAGTACCTAGACATTTAGATAAACTTAGGATGTACAAACAGACAGATCTTTTAACTCCATTTCAATTTAATTAGCTTAGGGCTGGCAGACAGATGGATACTATTAGAGTCAGGCACCCTCAGTTAAATCATAGAGCAAACAGAGCATCAGGAACTTGTCACTGTCCTTCAGATCTAGTATCTGTGGGAGTCAGAGGCCAGCTACATTCAGACTGCAGTCCTGGGCAAGGCAATGAAGAGAAGTGACTGCTGCCTTTAGTCCTGCAATATGCTTAAGGGCCTGCTGGAAATTAATCAAGACATATGAAGAGATAAAACCCACCTGGCAGATGAAACCAGTGGATGAGCACTGCCGAACCCAGAGACTGAACTTCCTCTTTTTCCTCTTGCGCAGCTCCCTCTCTGTGCACGTGGCAATGAAAACAGGATCCTCATCAATCAGGGGCTCATGTAGAACCTGAAGTTGACAAGAAAAGAGGTGGGGGGAGGAAAGAAACAGAGGAGTACATGACAGCTGAGAAAATGGTGCTTTACTGCTGCTTCAGGGCAAATACAATCCTTGCATTGTGCTTGTGCTCATCACCTCATACAAAAGAGCAAACCCACATTTGTTTGATGCTACCATCCAATGAAAAAAAAGAATAGCCTGGCCAGCCACACTCCTGTGTGGATAAGTGCTCTACTCATAGCTTGCAAACACTGCAAGGCATGGCTCTCACTTCCCACTATCAGCTTCATTTTAACATCCCTCCAAAATGTGGCCTCTACCTGTCACTATCAGCTACAGTTCAACATATTTCTAAAATGAGGTGGGGATGTGGGGAGGGTGGGGATTATTAGCTGCATCCTTCTCTAAGCTTCATCATCAGCTTCATCTAATTTGGCAGGATGTCTTCCACTCAATCATCCCCTACAATATGTTGTAACGTACACTCCTTGGCTATGGCAAAGGAAAACACACAGCAAAGAGGGAGAGAAGTTAAAGGAGAAAAGGATATTTTCTATTGCCTCTTAAAGAGGCAGAGAAGTGGCAGAAAACATTTTTCCTGGTGACAGCAGCTTCAGGGAAGTTTCTCCTGCCTCATAAGCTGAAAAACTTGACAAAAGGAGGCAGAAAAATAAAGGACCAGTGGTGGGAATAGAAAAGGACAAGGTAGATTGGAGAAAGTAATGAAAAACTGAAAGTGAAGCAATTTCTGCATTCTGTATCCAGATGATACAAGTGGTTCACTGTTCCTTACAGCTGTGTTGTTACACTTCTGTCCATTAATTCTGTAGCAAAGTTATTAGGTTTTTACACTAGGGAAGCGACCTATAGAAAAACAGCCCTACCTCCTTTCAGCTCACAGGTTTCTGTGCATAACAGATGAATCCCTGACTAGTGTCTGAGGTGTCCAGCAATTCATGTGTGAGAGTAAAAACGTTTGGAAACTGTTGAAAGGTTGATTAATGCTGACCGAATTCAGACATCTACATCTATATCAGAGCAAGGTACTGCAGGCTCCCCTCCTAGTACATGAGGGGAGAGCAATCCTGGCCGACCATAATTCGTACCATTTTAAAGACACATGTAAAATAAGTCAGATGGGTTATGATCTAAAGAAGCCTGTTCTTTTCCAGTAACCATCATCTCAGGAGACAGGCTATCCACAATGAAGAGGCTCTCACTCTCAGACCAACCCTTCCCATATCTACATGTGTTCTTTTCTGCACATCTGCACGCAGCTGGTGGTGGAAATGAGAACAATGTGGCCTTAAACCTGGCAGCCGTGCTCATAGGAGAGGTGTGGTGGGTAAGCAGTTAAGTACCAGTGATGAGCAGCTGCTGGCCTCCTGGATACAAGACGTTTGTTGAGCATCATTCTGTCAGCCCAAAATAGGCATCCGTGCCCTCCCCACACAGTGGTGGCTGCACACTTTCATTTATACACACTCCACTTCTTAACAGCTCATAAAACATTCAGAGGACCATCTGAAAGCACTCTTGTGAGATGTTCAAATTATACACCAAAATGCAGATGCAAGCTAGGAGAGCTGCACACAAAGCTATTTATTCTTAAAGCTGAAACTGCCCCGTTTCCCCACTGGAGCCATTGCCCCATTTCCCTACTGGAGCCTCTCTCGAGGTCCACACAAAACACCACTCTTCCTTCCAAAGGCTACCTGGAGCATTTCACACTTCCACCTCCAGGAATTCTGACAGCATTTTGCAAATCTTAGTCGTATCCTCATTTGCTTTTGCCTTCCTGCCTCTTCTGGGCAGAGAGGAGGACCACATCCCTTGGGGTGGAGCTGGATATGCTGTTAATAATTCCTCAGCTTCTGGAAAGGCAGTTTTACCTGCCAGATCCTGCAGAGTGGTGTGATTCAACTATTACGATCTCCCATGCTGTGTGATGGAGAGCAGCAGAAATAAAAGGCTGTATAAGCATTATTGAGGAAATATTTTTACCCCCTGTCATAAGCCGCATCCTGCTTACTCTTACCACTCTTTCTGCCTTCTAAGACACAGTAAATTCTGTCAGTCTTACACTTAGAAAGCAAATCTGAATTCCAAAAAACCTCTCCCCATATTTCTCTTCTCCCTACCCACTCTCAGCCTTGCCTTCCCCTAGGATCCAAAGCTTTCCATCCTTTCCCCTATCCCAGAAATTCAACTCATTCCCATTTCTCTATGTGAAGACCAGTGCTCCAGAAAGTCCCTATGGAACTTCTGGGAAGGAGGAAATGGAAACAGAGCTGGGCAAGATTTGCTGTTGCTGCAGAAGGAATGTCGACAGGGAAACGAAAATTAAAATCCTGGAGCTTGCTCTTCTTGCTTCCTCCAGACAGTACTTGTCTCCCCTCCACACTCAACCACTGCTTCAACAGCTGTAAAGCATTTTGCAAGCAAGGCACTGTATGGGCTGTATCTACTGCTGGAACAGCTGATCCATGTCTTGTTTTCAAAGTGGGCAGTTTGTTGCTTCTGGCAGTGATATGGTTTTCTTATGACAAAAGTTAGCCCTATTGCCACCAGCCAGTCTTATCAAGTTTGTTCACCCTCCATCATTCTCAGTCTCCTTGCTCCTTCTGTAATCTCAAATCCATTTCTTTGCCAAATCCCTACGCAAAGTGTTATCTGCTCCTTTTCCCATTCCCCATCCCTGCTGTCACTGCAATATCTGCTTTTCCAGGAATTATCTTACTGGCCTCATGGCATATTCTTTCCTGCTTCTCATCTTCCTAGATAAAAATCTACTTTCAAGCTTAATTGACTCCTACATGTATTCCTGGCTGCCTCTTCAGTATCTTTGACTCACTTCCCAAGCCCTCCCCTTTTCCTATTCTGACTTCCTTTGATGCAAGGTATTTTCTGGATTTCTTAATAGAAATTGGCTCCTTTTTCTTTTCTTTAATCCTCAGTTGTGTTCCAGTCTAAGAAGCTCCTCATCTAGTTTCTTGCTCCCCCAGAGCTATCTCATTGGGTGTTTGGGGTTTTTTTTTCTCTTCTTTATAGACATCCTCATCCCTGGTAGATCATCTTGTGAAGCTTTTACTCTTTGTTTCCCTTTAATAAGTATATGCACTCCAAGTCCAAGTCCATCTTGGACTCTTGCTTCTCCAGTAACTGGTCCGTCTCATAACATCTTCCTTCACTGAACAAAACAACTAGCCACTGTCACGAATGCCTTTTTTCCTTTTCCATTTTAGTTCATCTCCAAAGCTCTTTCCACTTCAGTAACACCTCTCCTGCTCTCACTACAGCCCAAACAGCCCAGAGCCAGCTTTTTTGTACTTGGACTTTCTAGACTCCATTGCATTCAATAATGAACCAACACATCCTTTAAATAGCTCATGTTTTAGCTCCATGGCCATCTCCAACATAGGCTGTCTCTTCAGCCTGTCTCCTGGAGAAACTGCCCCGGCTTGCCTTGTGTTTGGCTTTTGGTGGGTACCATCCAGTTGTAAACAGATTACCCTGGGTAATGGCACCTGTACACACAGCTTCTGCTATTTCTTCTGCAATAGCAGCTTGTGCTTCTGCTTCTTTACACCAAATCTCCTCCTGTCTAAACTAAATTTTCTGCTGGTATCTGACATCTTTGCTGGCGTATCTTACTGCCAGTTATGATTTTATTATGCTCCATCTCCCTTCTCTTAAGATAACCCCTTAATATCTCATTTTTTGGTCACTGCAGCCATCCCTCTCCTCCTGGTGCAGATGTCACTGGCTAGTGAATGTGAATGTCAGGCTTTACCTCTAAATCCTTGCAGGGTATTCTGAGCCTGGCAGTGCCTGTATTTTTTCATGCTTTCTGAGTAACAGCTCTAAAATGTTTCTCATTTTAAAGTAACAACCCACCCACCCAGTCATGTTTCATTCAAACCCACTGCCATCCTGCAACAGTTTTCCTTTTGGCCTCAAGGTAAGGCAATTCTGCCTGATTAGTTGCTTCTGGAAGCCCACAGAAGCCCTACGACAGAACAGTCCTGGTTTGGGGTCAGAACTCTTAACTCACAATGAATCTTTTTTTAAAAAACAGTGGAATATGGAAGGTATGACTGGAGCAAGATCTTACAATTTGGAAATGTCTAAGATTTAATCACGCGGACACAAAAAAATCTATGAGCAGATCGAGTGATATTTTCAAACAAGCTGTGGTCTAATGCTGTGAGCTGGTCTGGAAGAACTATGTTGAAAGTGCTTAGCTGTACTCAAAGATACCATCAAGAGCAAAATACAAACAAGCCTGCTAGTAACTGGCCAAACTTCAGCACCATGCCCTTATAGTAAGAGGTTGGAGTTGGACCTCTCTTTTTGCCAGGGAGTTCATTCCTGCCTGAGGTAAGGACTTAAGATGACTGTTCCCTGCTGACATTTCACTGAGCAAAAACAAAACTATTTGGTTCCAAGAAGCCAAAGAGAAGGTACTTTGGTAGAAGAGGAAGAGTGCCTGGAGTTGTGCTCCTGACCTCTCCCATGCCAGTCAGGGGCAGCCAGAGACAGCAGTCCTGTCTAGCCACATCCCGCTGATAAGCATATAAATACTCAGCAGGCACAGAAGGATATTCGAGCACTGATGTTATCTTCCTGACGTCCTCTGGTTTCTGGAATTCATTGTATATATCCTTGGCAGGTAAGTACCCTTGAACTTGTTGCAGTATATCTCCTGAGCTCAGGCAGGGTGTCTTCCCTGTCTTCAAGCTTCCAGTTATAGACAATAGCACAGCTACAAAGCCAAGCAGCAAAGAGACAACCCCAATTCTGGGAACTGATGCAAATCTTCTCCTCTTGCTGCTCAGGTAGAGGCAGCAGTTACTTATACAGAAGTTGCTGGAGAGGGACAGGATGCAGAAAATATTCCTGTCATTCCTATCCAATCTGGGTCCAAACACAATTATTTTTTTACTTTGGAAATTGAAGCTAGAGCTGCTGATACACAATTACAATGTTCTGGGCTTTCAATACCTTCATGAGCTTGAGAATAATTTTTTTCTTTTGTTTGCTCAGTATATTTAGCAAAATAACTATCATTTACTAGATTGCTTTCTTTGTTTTGGTATATTAGCATAGTTCTCTCTTCCTCTGTTTCCTTTCATAGAAACTGTGCTGTCATTTTCGCACGCACGTTTTTAGGGGGAGGCACAGAATCGTCACAGTTGGAAGAGTCACAGATGAGAAAAAAAAACCCTAAATATTTTCTGACAGAAAAGATCTTGAAGAATCTTTTTTAGTTCTCCACAAACAAAAGAACAAATCTATAGAAGAAATAACTGTAAAAGCAGATGTTGCAGTGCCTGCTGGATGCAAACTGTCGGCTCTGTCCATTGGGTGAGTTAAACATAGCATCTTCCTAACCCATGTTCTGTGAGTCCACACTGACAGAGGAAGAAAGTCAGTAACAAGTCTATCTACAAGCATGAACAGCCTTGATGCATTCAACAGCAAGAAGCCCAAGTCATTCCTCCGCTTGATGCTGCTTACAAGATGTTACCCTAAAACCTCAGTACACATCATGGCTCAGGCACAAGCCACCCAGATACAACAAGTCTCATATTCAAGATACAGTTGTACCTTAAGCAACAAATACATTTTTTTAACTTGGGATTCCAGGTACCACAGATTATAGAAAACTGGGCCCCTCTTCCCAAAATGCTTTCAGAAGCAGCACATCCAAAAGTCCATCTGAATGTGTTTTTCTCCTTGTCTTTTTCCTTTGTTTCTGTGCAACAGGGTTATTATTTTTCATTATTTCTCTTATTTCTCACTGGGCCTGACATTCTGAGTTTGATGCTTACCATAGTCTGCTAACCTGCACTCAAGACAGTTTCTAGGGTGAGATCTTTCCTGCTGTTCTTAGCAGATGGGGTCCTTGTCTATTGAGACAGGCAATGTGAAGCCTAGCCTGATGGCACCCCAGAGAATGGCACAAGGCTCCTTTTAAGAGGAGGCCTGGAACACTCTCCAGTAGGCTACCAGCTCTACACTAGAGTATTTTAACAGCAAATTCAAAATCTTTTTCTCTCTCACAGAGTTATTTTTTAAGTTGTATTTTAGTTCTTTTTGTTCTGCTCAATACCACCAAAACATGGGGTATAAAAATGACTGATGTAAACACTGACAAGAGAGCAGAGAAGTGGAGAGGGAAGGAAGAAAACTGGGCTCTCACTACTTTTTCCCCTCTTATTTTTTGTTAAAGTACCATCTCCCTACCAAGCTCAGCATAAGCATACATTTTATTTGTGGAGATTTAAATGTTTTGCCACTGCAAATCAGATGCTGTGATTTTGTCAATTCAGTTCTCAAACATTGCTTGGGAGGGGGGAAGAGAGAAGGGATAAACATGCAAATCAAATTTTATCCTTTAATGGATTTGCACTCACAGCATGTCCCACAGCACACCATTATCAGCATTTACATTAGACACTGATCACATTTCTGAAGCCTTGTTTTCTGCCCACTGAAGTCAGTGGCCATAAGGATTAGATTTCATATCTGAATGAGGGCTCTGTCCCAACAATACCATGTCTATCACTGCCTGTTTTGTCTCAATGGAAATGCACTTTGCTGGCATGGCACAGTGAGAACACTCGTCCCTTCTCTATAGTAACAGTTTTTTAGACAGCTGTTGTCCTGAATTATACAGGTATGACTTTTATTGTCTATAAATTAGAAGAAACCTGTAATCATTCCCAATTTACTTCAGGCACACTTCAATGGTTCTGATGCATCTATGTCTTCATTAATTTTGGGCATCAGGCAAAAATGTGATGCTTCGGAGGGGAAACAGGAAGAAAAAGAGGATGATGGACACAACACCCTTTCCAAATGTCTAGGTGAAATCTTTATATCATTTTATATCTGAAAACAGGGAGTTGGTTGAGAAATTGTTTCAAGTGGAAATATATTTCATGCTTATTCCTTTTTCTTTCCAGACTTCTGAATGTGACCAGTAGCAACAGCTCCAAAAGGAGAGAGTTTATACTGGTACAAGAAAAGATGTATTTGCACTTAAAAAAAATACAATTGTTCAACTGCACAGCTTTGGTCAGACAACCAGCAGTTACATAAGGTACTATATTTAGATCCCTATATTGTCTGCCCAGTCTATGGAGCAGTCTCCCTACAGACTGGCTCTACCCCTAATTGTATCTGGAAATAAAAATTCATTGGAATCTTGTTTACTTTTATTCCTGGTAGTCTAGAAATACTTCCAGCTCACTGGTACCGTGGTTGCAAATCCACACATCAGTAAGTTTTTCCATGGGAGCATCACCCATCATTAAAAACCAGGACTGGCACAAGGCAAAGGCAGTGCTGCTGAAGGCAGCTGACAACTGCAGTGAGCAAAGGCAACTGCCCCCATGGTTATTTTCCCTTTGCCCAGTTGTGAGGAGGTAGCCATGCTGCTGGACCACATAGCAAGCACCTACTGCTAAGGTCAGAGATGGACATTCCTAGCAAGCTCAGCTCCTACATCCAACCCTTTAGCCTACAGCAGGAGCAGCTCCAGGTTTTCCATCCAGCCCAGCTTCACCATCTGTGCTCTTTCTGCTCTCTCTCACAGGAGGAACTTGCAACCCATCTTCATAATAGCAAAACCCACTGGTGTCAAGCCCATTGAGAAGTCTGCAGACTTGTTTAGACCACTAAAGCAAACAGCTCCAGCTCAGAGAGTATCATTCCTATTGAAACACATCGGATACCTGCACCACAGATCTGTAAGTCAGATGATGCTCAGAACTGGCATAGGATAGTGCCACTTTCTCTCTTGCTTCGTGGAGGCAGCACATCCTGGCTTCACACTGCAAAGCCCCAGCTCTTTCTACAGGTAGCTGTGCTCTGCACTTTCAGTCATAGCAAGACAACCTAGAGCACCTAGGTTAGATGTTCCCTGCCAAAAGGCTAACTCTTACCTGGGCTTGTGAAGGTCTAAAAGCAGAGTCAAAGCCATTCTGCAGAGAGTCCAGAAAAGGCTGGATTTTGTAGAGGCTATGTGTTGTCTGGCTCGAGCGGAAGGCCACTACGTGGAAGTACTTCAGAATCTTCTCAAACCGTGATTGTGTCATGATAAGTGCAATGCTCTTGTTGCTGTAGAAGCCGCTGCTCCAGATGCTGAGAACGGACTCACAGTGGTGGATGCTGGTTGATATCATGTAGCCTAAGAAGGCCTTCATTTCTGTCAAGGTGACATCAATCCAGGTGTCGTCACTACCGAACCTCTCCTGGTACTTCTTGGCATACATGTTGGTTTGGACCACCATATTCTTTAGTACGTTGTCAGGGACAAAGAGTTGAAAAAAGTCCATGGCACTGGCAGTCAGGGGCATTTTTCGTGTTGGACCTAGGACAAAGGCATGAAGGGAAGATAAACTCACTCCTGATCACTGCAAACACGTGCAACACCAGCAATTTAAAGCGGAACTAACTAACTTTTCTAAAGTAGGAAAACTAAGCCAAGGTGATGGCACATCAGCTAATTCCTCTGAAAGCATATCCAATGTCTGACAGATCTCATCAGGAAACTTCCCCTGTCTTCTTCCTTTACTACACAAGTACAGCACACTCTGACTAGTTCATCCTCTGCTCTGTGCACTTGCTCATTTGTAGCAAGACTTAGAGGGCATGCAGGTGTGCCAAGTGGCATGTATTTAATTTTTCCACTTACACACTATCTGAACATTTCACTCTTAGCAGCTGTTTTGGCCTTTTCCTGCATAGTCTTTGATTTGTCACATGCGTGCCAAAGCAGTGCCTCCCTCAAAATAGCCCAGAAGGAAGGTGTCTGAGCCCTCCAGAGAGAAAGTGCTGCCCTCATCTCAGCTGACATAATTCCTGGGCACTGGAACCTGATCCCACATTTTCTTCTGCATTTCTAATTCCTGCTCAGTTAATTGTCATTAATCCTGTGACTTTCAAATCTGCTGCTGCTCCAGACATATAGCTGTGCAGATCATGCCTATGCACTTCTGAGTTCTATGTCTTTGCCACCACACTGGAGCCTCATCCTGCACTGTGACATCCCCAGGACAGCACGTTACCAGAAGAAGTCAAAGACATAATGTGGCTAGCGTTATCCCACGTCACAGGGAGTATTTTTAGCATTACAATGCATACACCAGTCCTCTTCCTCCCACAATGTAATAAGCCTTGAAGTCCCATGTTGTCATTACTCTAACTTTTCACCGATTTTGCACTTTCTCTGCTATTTTCAACTATTCTACAAGAAGAAGAGGGAAAAAACCCAAACAAAACAGGAGGCTTTAAGAGTCAGCAGCACTGTATCAGTGTAACAAGGTTATGCAGTCAAACACCAGATTACATTAAGCCAAATTAGGAACATTGAGCCTGCAATACCCGGGACACAGACAGCAGTCCTTATAGCTCCTTCTCCTCTAATCCCTTTCATAAGCTAATTAAGCTATATTTTAAAAGTGGTCTTTTTCATGCTCCCACCCCATGGCAGTGCTTTAGTAAGGGCTGTGAGAGCAGGGACATCCAGAAGCAGTGAAAAACAAAATACATCTGAGAGGGGCAGAATGGACAAACTCAATGGACAGGCCAGTGCTCAAGAGCAGTTCTATGTCCCTGTGGAAAAGATAGTGTCATGATTGTAACACCAAACTAAGAGTTGGATTCAATAAATACTGCGCTTTAGTTTAACAGCCTCCCTTCAGCCCTGGGACTGCCTGAACAGTCTTTGTGGTCAAAAGCAGAAGGCACAGAGCTCCTCATTTGAAGTTCTGCCTAAGAAGATCAAGTCTTCCTTACACTACATGGCTGCTCAGATCTCAGCGTCGGCTCTCCCATCTGAATCAGAGCCTTCAGAGATTTGCTGTTCTGCAATGTGGCTCCGCAAATATACCCTAATGGATTGGTCAGGTCACATTTTCCATTACCCTTGTATCTCAGCTCACAGCCTTAGCTACAGCAACGACTACAGCTTGCAGAAATTTTGCATGAAACAGTACTTTAAGGAACTACACAAATACTGTGGTTGGACTTACTCTTAAGCCTTAGTGTTTGGGTGCACTCTGGTGAACTCAAGATGTTAGAAAGACATCAAAAATAGCACCAAGACATTGAAACAGTGAAGCTTCAGATTGCAAAGAATGCCAGAAAAATAAACAGAAGTAGATTTTTTATTTCCCAGCTGTAGTGAGGAAAGAAACATATATTTAAAGATGTTTTACCAATTTTAATCTGAGAGATTGAGAAACCGGAAGTGAAACTGTTCAGTTGAAAGCACATTCCTCTACATAGCAAGACCAGAGTAAAGAGCCCCACATAAACCATATTGTATAAGGACTGAGCAGAAAATTTCAGCTTGAATGATAAAAGGTTTCCATTATCAAGTGAAAACTATAGGGCTAGCATAGATATACTTATTTAAGTATAACTGCTATTGCAATAATAAAGCCTCTTAAGAAAGAGTTCTCCTCATTTGATCAGATTTATATTCAGCTAGCACTCACTAGATGGTTATAGCTGACATAAAATGCTCTACAAATGATTCTGTATGAATGACTTACAGTATATCACTTCCTCCTTCCCTACAACTTAATCAAGTTTTGACATTCTACAGTAGATATGGCTTTTGGATAATAAGACACTACAGAGTGTATTCCTACTTACACAGGAAGTCTTGAGTAGCTGCTGAATACAACTCCAGTGCCTAGGCAACCTTCCAGGTAGAGCATGGAGGTAGTTTTTAAGTTCTTCCTTTAGAAGCAGAAGCTGGGATTGGGGGTGACATTTTCAATCTTGCCTATGGCAACCAAAATGCATCCCTAAAGCATTAAGGCTTATGAAGTGAAATATGTCAGTCTTGAGACAGGTGGATATGGACAAGAGGCTGGACTTCATATTTAAGAAATCCAGAGCAGTCAGAAGCTCAAAAAGGTTATTTTGTGTGTAATTAGGTTTTCAGTAGCTGTGCAAGTTTGCCTTGAAAAGTGATTATGGAAAACTGCCAGGTACACTGGATAAGGAGCAATCCTACCCTAACCACACATAACCTCCTATCTGCTCTTCTTTAAATAAATACGCAAGATTTGTATCCATTTGCCATACAGAACCCACACAGCTCTAAAAAAAGTGAGCTGAATCACTTACTGACTCAAACATCAACCTAATTGTTGACCAAATATAATTCTGAAAGCCCCTGTATAACCTCATTGTCTTAAAAAGCAGCCTTTATGGCAAAGTGAGCACAACCTTAATTTACTGATACGCCATAAAACAAGAGTGACAGCATTGAATTTCAGCAG